ATTGTTGGTTGTTCATGATCCATGTCTACCATTTATATTGATCTCGTCGACCCTTAAAGATAATAAGGAAGGTTAGATAAAATATATGTTGGTGCTCGTCAAGTGTGGCCCGGGTGCTAGTCATGACCCTCCAGTTGGGTCGTGACAGTATATGCATTGGATGACCCCGCTTCCACCTTATCATATATTACTCTGTTGATTGCTAGTAAGTTTGGAATAAAACCTGAGTTGGTTAAACCTTTTGAGATGTCCACACCTATTGGGGATCCAGTGATAGCTAGGTCGGTATATAGAGATTGTATAGTAGTAGTTCATAGTTGATCTATAGTAGCAGACCTAATCAAGTTAGATATGGTAGAATGTGATGTTATAATGGGTATGGATTGGTTGGATTCTTGTTATGCCAACGTTGATTGTAGATCAAAGATGGTCCGCTTCCAATTCCCAAAGGAGCCTATTTTGGAATGGAAAGGTAATACGACATCGCCGAGAGGTAGATTTATTTCCTATCTCAAGGCAAGGAAGATGATCGGAAAGGGTTATATTTATCACTTAGTTCGGGTACAGGATGTGAAAGTAGAGTCACTAACCATTCAATCCATCCCTGTGGTTAATGAGTTTCCCGATATTTTTCCCGATGAGCTTTCGGGTCTTTCGCCAGAGCGAGAAATTGAGTTTTCTATTGATCTATTACCAAATACTCAGCCAATATCTATTTCTCCCTATAGAATGGCACCTGCATAGCTGAGAGAGTTGAAGGAACAACTGAGGGACTTGCTTGAAAAAGGCTTTATCAGACCTAGTACATCACCGTGGGGAGCACCTGTGTTATTTGTGAGGAAGAAAGATGGTTCCTTGCAGAGGATTGATGATTTATTTGATCAGTTTCAAGGTGCCAAGTGTTTCTGGAAGATAGGCCTTAGGTCATGGTACCATCAGGTAAGGGTTAAGGAGAAAGATATTCCGAAGACAGCATTCGGGACCAAATACGGGCACATTGAGTTTCGTGTTATGTCATTCAGTTTGACTAATGCCCCAGCAGTATTCATGGACTTGATGGGTGTGTGTTCAGACCTTTTCTATATCTGTTCATGATTGTATTTATTGATGATATATTGGTTTATTCACATTTAGAGACAGAGCATGCAGATCATTTGCGTATTGTGCTCAAAGTTTTACAAAAAGAGAAGTTGTACACCAAACTCTCTAAATGTGAATTCTGGTTGAATTCTGTAGTTTTCCTTGGGCATATTATTTCAGGTGAATATATCCGGGTTGATACACAAAAGATTGAGCCAGTAAAGACTTGGCCTAGACCTACGACACCGACGAAGGTTCGAAGATTTCTCGGTTTGGCAGGGTATTACAGGAGATTTGTAGAGGGATTTTCTTCTCTTTCAGCACCATTGACAAAGTTGACAGGGAAGGGAGCTATGTTTCAATGGACTGACGCTTGCGAACAGAGTTTCCAGGCATTGAAGGAAAGATTAACTTCAGCACCGATTCTAACACTCCCATAGGGGACCGATGGTTATGCTATCTATGCTATCTGAAGAGCCTTTAGTATATCTTCAAGCAAAAGGAATTGAATTTACGTCAAAGGAGATGGTTGGAGCTACTGAAAGACTATGACGTTGATATTTTATACCATCCAGGGAAGGCGAATGTAGTAGTCGATGCCCTCAGCCATAGATCTATGGGTAGCCTATCATATTTACAGCCAGAGAAGAGGGGGATAGCCCATGAGATTTATCAGCTAGCTAGTCTAGGAGTTCGATTACTGGACTCGGGTGATACCGGAGTTACTATTCAGGACACTGCAACATCCGTTTTAGTAACTGAGGTGAAGGAACGCCAGTACGAGGATCCTGTGTTAGCTCATTACAGGGATACAACCCATCAGAAGGAGAATACATCATTTGAGATTATAGGAGACGGAGTCCTTAGATATCGAGGATGATTATGTGTCCCTAATATTGCATGGATGCGCCGGCAGGTTATGGGAGAAACTCACTATTCTCGTTATTCTATCAATCGATGAGCAACAAAAATGTATCATGAGATCAGGAAATATATTGGTGGGACGGAATGAAAAAGGATATAGCGGAGTTTGTTGCTTAGTGCCCTAACTGTCAGCAGGTTAAGATTGAGCATCAAAAACCCGGTGAATTATTGCAGGCTATAGAGATTCCGACTTGGAAGTGGGAAGTAATTAATATGGATTTCATCGTAGGTTTACCTTGTACCCAGCGTAAGCTCGATTCTATATGGGTGATTGTTGATAGACTTACAAAATCAGCCCATTTTCTGCCTGTTAGGACTACATATTCCACAGAAGATTATGCAAGGCTTTATATTAAGGAGATAGTACGACTTCATGGTGTCCCTATATCTATTATCTCGGATAGAGGTGCTCAGTTTACAGCTAATTTCTGGAGGTCCTTTCAAAAAGGATTGGGGACTCAAGTAAGTCTTAGTACAACATTTCATCCCCAGACAGACGGACAGGCTGAGCGTACCATTCAGACACTGGAGGATCTGTTATGAGCTTGTGTAATAGAGTTCAAGGGTAGCTGGAATGATCATCTGCCGCTTATTGAGTTCGCATATAATATCATTCCAGTATTCAGATGGCTCCATACGAAGCTCTTTACGGAAGGAAGTGTAGGGCGCCTATAGGATGGTTCGATGTTTGGGAAACTAAGTTAGTAGGACCAGAGTTGGTACAACAGGCAATCGAGAAGATTAAGCTTATACAGGAAAGGCTATTAGCAGCTCAAAGTCGTCATAAGTCTTATGCAAATAATCGACAACGAGACTTGGAGTTTCAGGTTGACGATTAGGTATTCCTAAAGGTATCACCGATGAAAGGCGCTATGAGGTTCGGTAAGAAAGGAAAACTTAGCCCTCGGTACATTGGACCATATAAGATAATACGCAAGGTAGGCCAGGTAGCATATGAGCTATACTTGCCTTATGACTTAGAGTCTGTACATCCAGTCTGTCATGTGTCTATGCTTCATAAATGTATCGGAGATCCTTCCAGATTCGTGTCAGTTGACGATGTTTAGGTCACAGAGCAGCTATCATATGAGGAAACTCCCATTGCTATACTAGATAGACAGGTTCGGAGATTGAGGACTAGCTTCGGTGAAAGTACTTTGGAGAAACAATAATGTAGAAGAAATGACATTGGAAGCTGAAGAAAACATGAAGTCTATATATCCTCACTTGTTTCCTCTTCCATAAAAGGATCCAACTGAGACATCACAGCCTTAAGGTACGAGTATGGATTCTTGTGTTAGTAATTGTCATTGGTCGTGTGAGGCCATTGTCGTTATTGATGATTGTGGCAATATGTGGCATTGAATTATTGAATTTTCTATAGGAAGGGTTGGTAGTAGTACTGTTATAAAGGCGACTCTACTAAAATTTATATAGATTCCGAGGAGTTAAACATTCGAGGACGAATGTTTCTAAGTGGGGAAGGATGTTACATCCCCCATTTCGTACGTTAAATTTTCGCCGTAAGTTAATCGACGTAAGCTCTGGAATGAGATTATTTTTGAGGTTATAAGCATTTAAGCTATTTATAACAGGCGATAAGTAAGTGTCGTGAAGGTTAGAGGGTAAACGAATCAAAGAAAATGAGTTTCGTTGAAGGTTGTCAGTTTGGGATAAAATACGGTCCAAATTATAATACCCGGAATTTATGGACTAGTGTTATACAAGGTACCACATGACCATGATAGTAAGGTGTATAAAGTGTGTTAAAAGTGATTAGTATTTTAAGTAATTTGAGATAATTATTAATTATGTAGGTAATTGATTAATTATTAAATTAGTGGGGGGTTAACAAGTTAATTAAGGAAATGGGTGGATAATTATTGGTGGGAAATCTCCACCTCCCCCCCTCCCCCCAACGTGGCAGCAAGTTATACCCTATTTGTGACTCTTTACTTACATTACAAGGTGGCACATTTAGAGGGACTTTTGGCTAAGTCATCACCTAAGTGGGGCCCACACCCACTAAGATAAAAGATATCTCATAATTCACAAAGAGAGATATATCTAATCTTCATAGCAATGTAAAAAATTGCTTCAGGAAACTCATACAAAATGATAGCAACGTGATTTGCTACAAAGTTCATACAAGACTACTTAGCAACGTGAGAATTGCGATTCTAAGAGAACACGTTACAATCTTTCTCAAGAATATCATACAAGTTTTTTCCTATTCCAATCCGATGTTACGTGTTTCGTCGCGATTGGCATGTGTTAGAGGGATTGTCAAAAGAATCGGTTCAGGTATGTTAAGGTTATCCCTTCTTTCATATTGGCATGATCCATATGATACAACAAAATGAGCAAACACACAACTTTCTCAAATGACTCTATTCTTAAAAGTACTAGTGATACCTATATTCTTGATTTCCCATGTGTCTTATGATTATATCTTCTGTTCATGAGTCTCAGAAAAATACGTAGTTAATAAAATTTATCCGAAGGCATATTAATCTTATGACATACCGAGAAATCTTATTAACTTACTTCTTATGCATTTCATTCATTTATACACGTACATTGACCCATGACCAGATGGCGTCACTACAAGAAAAATGGTCATTAACGATGGGAAAATTGGTCCCTAAAGGTCTAATTCTGGTCCCTGATAGTAAATAACGACCACTACAATTTGGTCGCCACCCGTCGCTAAAAGCTTCGCCGCTAAAGGTCAATAACGACGAGATACCAATACTGGTCCTTAAAATATTTTAGCGACCAGATATTTTCTGGTCTTTAAAAGAGCTTTAGAGACCACGCTTCTTGTCCCTAAACATACATCATTTGGTGATAAAAAGGAATTAAAGACGAAAGATCTGGTCCTTATAATGTTTTTAGGACATGTGTATGTTGGTCCCTAAATAAATACCTGATCTTTTCTTGTCATTTTTAAAAATATTATTCCAACATAGATAATTAAATGCAGAAAGAAAAAACAGAACTCATAGTTATACCTTGGTTTCATATATATAATTTAAATTTATAATTAATTACAAGATATATTAACATCTCACAAGTAACAAGGTATAGCCATGATACATACTTCACAGTACTGTTCATACAATCCTTGAGCAAAAAACAAATATTTGCCTAACTATCTTAACAAAATTATCACCAATTTGCGGAATTGTATGAAGCTTTCAAAACTTGCATCTTGATTGTAAACTCAAGTCTTCACACCTGTAGAAAGTATAAAATAGATTCTCATTAGAGAAACTATCATGATAAGTTGGCGAAATAGGTTAAAAAGATTTTCTGTCAAAATAATTTAAATCTAACAGAGATTTAACATCCCAATTGAAAAAAAGTTCAAACTCATTAAGTGCAAGCATATACAAGAACCATACATATGTGTGTATGCACGCATTAGTACAAATCATTTCCGTAATCAAAACTAAATAGATTCTTAACAGATTTTGTTTTGAGAAAACACCATACTCAACTTTTAAGCCCACAATTTAGCTAGTTTACCATCTCTTGTATTCTATTTGCAGAAGATACTTAGGTGAATGTAATACTAGCCAATATTACACAGTTTGAGACTATACATCTGTAACGTACAACTGAAATGAATAACACTAGTATAATTAATAATACATCTGATAATGATCCTAAGTTTGTACAACTGTTATAATTAAAATTACTTAGCACATTGATTCATTTAACTGTTGCATGTACAAGAATCATAAGAAAGGAAGCAGCAGCTGAGAGAATTTCTGAGAACAATATATCCAAAGTCAAACTCTGTTTATTCACACAAAGCACTCTATTTATGATCAGTAATAGATTTAAAGATACTTTCAAGTGAAGGTATCATACCGTGACCAGCAAATCTAACAAATGTAGTACGATCCAACCATGTAATAGTGGAAGGTATTGGTATTCCTTAACGAGCGAATATAGTAGAATCTGATTACTACCTCTTCTTTCTTCTATTCTCCCTCTATCCAATAACTGTTACAATATAAAGATTGTTCTGAGAATTGTAAAAATAAATTTTAGGAAAAAAAAAAAAGAACTTGTTCACGCTATAAAGAGAATATAATTTCTAAGGAGGCCTACACAAACAAGCAAGTCTACTTACATAGTCATACTTGAGTCGTTGCAATAATTACTTGATAAAATCTTCATTAGAAGTTATTGTTTCTTTTTTGTATATGTAATTGGGCTTCACTACTAACTTAAGTCTGCACATTTCTGTAAGAGAACAATGCAGATTTTATGCAAAAATCGCTAAATGTCAGGTTCATTAATACTAGATACTTATAACTCCTTTCACTTTGTGTTTAACCTGTTATTAAACATTGAGAATAAGTTGAAGATATAAATACCATGCCCAGCTTGCTGAAGGAAGATGGCGGAGATACTCAAGAAGCTCAAAGCTTTATTAATACAATTGCAATTACTAGTCAAGTAGAGAAATGGACAAATTGATTCCTAGCTTCCAATAGTCACAAAGAAGACTATGAGCCGATGACTATTCTGAAGGTAATATTTGATAGCCTCTCTTAGTTTTAGACCATCTTAATCAATATCATAAACAAGTTTAACTTTCATACTTCATCCTCAACTAATAGAAAACAAACATTTGTTTTATCTTGTTAACAAACATTTGTTTTATCTTGTTCGTCCCATTTCTTTTGTTTCTTTTACTTCTCTAATAACAAGAAATAAATATTTCTTTTCACAAAAAGGTCCAGATAGCATAGCATAGCATAACCTATTATTAAATAAATCCGAATTAAGTTAAACACAAACAATTGAAAAGGTAATTATTCAATGATATTTCTATTGATATATACATAAACATATATACTAGTTTACGAAGAAGGGTAAATGAATTCACCTTATAGAACATAGAGATCCATGCTTTTCAACTTAGAGATATCATCAAAAATATTAAAATTAGGATGATGAATCACCAAGGAACTGAACATCAAAACATACAGAATATTTCACATTCACTTTACTAATTAGATAACATCATGTTTTACGATCCATAGCATGTCCTCTCAAAACCTTAAAGATAATAGTATTTCATAGCAAAATTAACAATGTTAACCAACCTCAATCTATCAAGAATAAATCTCAACAAAATACAAAGATACCCTCCAACATGGTTACAGAATGAAGGTTCACATAATGGAGGCAATGTAGGGCACGCCTCAACCAAGTGACAAGCTAGTCCAGAATTTTACTTCTCCAAGCCTCAAAGATTTTTTCCAGAAAAAAGAAAGGTATTTGCTTCCAGCCTCAAAGTTTGTCTACATATTGCTGCAATCCTAAACTTACAAGTTCATTATTTTTTATTACAAACAAATTTAACCCTGAATAAGTCGACAAAGCTAAGGGCCTTTAGTGAACCAACTTATTGATGTATAGATGCACTACACAAGCTCTAATTTTTTTGAGTAATGATACAATTAACAAATTCTAACGTTTTGCTCATACAATAGAAAGTAATGTCCCATAATCATGATGTTTATAATCTGTGAAGTGCAACTCTTCTCAAATTCTAGATAGAGAGATCAGGCAAATGAATTAAAGCCTCGATTTAGGAAAAGAAACAAAAATACAAAACAATCCCAAAACCAAAATAAATAATCGAACCGAAGAACAACTGAATAAAATTGAAACTTTTATGACCAACCTATCTGTAAAATAAACGGAATAAACTGGAAACTTAGTTAAAATGTAGGTTGAGTGAGTTATCAAAGAGAAAAAGCTTCATAATTTTCACAACAACTAAGCATAGACTACAACAATCGGAAAAGATTGAAATATGAAAAAAATGGTGATAGAAATTGAGGAACTTACCGAAAAAGTCTAGCATCTTTAGTTTTAACCAAGGACCAAGCTTCCAAACGATAAGGGAAAACTCAAACTTGAAGAGTTGCGGTAGAATTTTAGAGTGTTTCAAAGTTTCTAGGGTTTAAGATCTGTAGAAAAGGGATTTTTAGGTCTTAGCGTTTAGTGTTTTTATTTATTTGTTTCTATTTTTTTTAAGAATATTATTTATTTGTTTGTTTCTTTAGCAAGATAAATTTGGTACCCGCGCCTTTTCCCGCTAAATTTAAGAGAATTAGGGACCACATATTTATGTTATAGGGGCCGGGTTTATTCTCTTCGTAATTAATTTGAGATTCAAAGACTAGGTATATAACTTGTCTTTATAAGTATATTTTTAGGGACCGGATTTTTAACTCGTCGCTAGTTGTTGGTCGCTAAAAAGCCTTTTTCTTATAGTGTGTTATATATGCGTATATTATATGTATATGTGATATGGAAAAAGGTTACGGCGTTATATACGCACCACTACCTGATCAACTGGTATACGTGATGATTTCGCCCACAGAGGCCGAGATGATGTTATGAACACATATACCTATGCATTATATGACATTTTTGCGCATAGGCATGACTTTATAAATATTTCAGGATTCACTAAGTTATTTAGACTTACAGGTGGATTCCTTTACTCCCTGTTTTATTTGTCTTTTTTGGACTGATTTTTATGCCTTACATACTCGGTACATTATTCGTACTGACATCCCTTTTGCCTGGGGACGTTGTGATTCATGCCCGCAGGTGCAGGTAGACAAGCTGACGGTCCCTTTTTTTAGGATCGTTGATCAGCGAGAGTTGGTGTGCTCCACTTGATCCGGAGCGGTTATTAGTTTTGGTACGCTACTTTTGTATGTAGATATGGGTACGACAGGGTCCAGTCCCATCCTTTATATAGTTGTACACTCAAATAGAGGTATGTAGACAGTCATGTATAGTTGGATAGTATGTAGCCTTGTCGGCTTCCAGTTTTGGATATATAGTTTTCTATCGCAGCCTTGTCGGTCCGCCCTACCATATTCCGTATGTGTATATAAGTCTTTTGGACATGTTTTCCTCATGTATGTCATTCATGTGTTTCAACAGTTTAATGGCAGATGTTATTCATGACCTACCCTTAATTCATGTTTATATCTTAGACGTATGCTTAGGGGTATTCGACAAGTAGGACTCGAGCACTCATCATGGCCCATCGGTTTGGGTCGTGACAGACGTAACTAATAGAAATAAACCGGTGTTGTTCACATGACTTCTTATTGACTTATTACTGAACTGTATTCTTCTCTTTATTTGTGGGTTTGTTGGGTAGACGATACTGTGCAGGATTGCTCGACTGAGGTAACTCTGTTGAGCATCGGTCGCACTCCCCAAGGTCGGGGCGTGACATGAATGCCTCAGCAATATCATTTTACGATCGGGCAGTTCGCCTTGGCAGTATTATGAGATGCGTCTATGGTTAATGTTGGTCGACCCTCGGTAGTGTACATGATTATGGAATTGGGTTGAATGCCTCAGTTGGGATCGAGCCATAAGCCAAGGTAGAAATTCATGCCCCTTACTCTTATGGGATTGGGTCGCTCGCCTCGGCAGAATCGTGCGTAATATTTCATAAGGAATCAACGTACTTATGAGTTTTTCTTACATGAGATGTAATCGTTGATTTGGTGTTGACCATTACGTATTCCATATGAGGAAGTTTTCGGTATTAGAGGACCTTGTGTTTACTGTTCAGTTGAGGATCGTATTATGTACCTCTATCTGTTTTCACTATTTACTTATCATGCTTCATACCTGTCTACTTTTTGTTGTTCATGATTTATTGGACCACTAGTAAGTGTTGATATTGACCCCTCGTCACTACTTCTTCGGGGTTAGGCTAGATACTTACTGGGTACGCATTAATTTATGTACTCATGCTACACTTTTGCACTAATTGTACAGTTTCTGACAGGTTCATTTAGTGGTCTATTTGGCGCATAGGCGCAGCTGCAGAGGGGATTTTATGGTGAGCTGCATTCCATGCTACAATACGCAACACACAAAGTCTCCATCATATTTATTTACTTTATCTTGTCTATCTTATATTCCATATGGATGTTGTGTTATTATTGTACTCCCTAGTAGATGCTCACGTACTTGTGAAATCAGGTTTTCGGGATTTAGATTTTGCTCGTGGTTGTGTTCTTTTATGATTTTGGGATTATATTTTTTGGCCACATTTGAATATTTAAGATAATGACATCTATACTTTTATGAAAACAAACGAACTTTCACTCCTTATTTCTTTAATCATATCGAAATGCATTTTGGACTAACTATTAATGTGTTGATACATTTGTTGGCTTTCCTAACGATGACGTTGGGCGCCATCATGGCCTATAGTGGGATTTGGGTTGTGACAGCTTGGTATCATAGCACTAGGTTCACTTAGGTCTCACGTGTTATGATCAAGTCTAGTAGAGTCTTGCGGATCGGTACAAAGACGTCGATACTTATCTTCGAGAGGCTACATGGCCATTAGGAGAACATCCTTTCTTGATTCCTTGTCGTGCGGTTTGATTTTACTGAAGCTTATGTCTTTATTTCCTTCCTACTCATTCTTATACGATGTTGAGCGCCTATTATCAATTGGGAATCGACGAGTTATAGTGGTGCTACAAATGTGGTGCTGGATGTTTTTCCATGCGTATTCAGGCGGACTATTATCGTTGCCTTGTGGAGGGATGTTCTATTGTTTCAGCCTAGTGTTAGAGTTGATAATGGTTTCAAGGCTATGCATAGTGTATTATGATGTTCGTGCGTTGTTATCGCGCAGTGCTAATGTGAAAGGTAGGGTGCTTATTTATGTGTTGCGACAGTGAATGTCCTAAGAGGAGGATTTCTCGATTCATGGTTTGGCAATTCGGCATTTAATTCCAGCGGAGAAGAGGCAATCAGACTATGGATGTTCAGGCTTTGGTTGACGAAGTAGCGAGATTGGATATTTTTTATCTTGGTGCAATTCTTGTTTGTAATGTGGTTTCATCGTCTTTGTTTGAACGCATTTAGGCTTGTCGATGTGATGGTCTTCATTGGTTTGCCTTAGGCGCGAGATGTTGTGAAATGGTACCTAAGAAGAGAGTATTAGAGATGGCGGTGTGTGGAAGCTTCAATGTCGAATTGGTGTTTCTAGTATTGGTGGCTCAAGAAAGATGTTCTTTATGGAGGCTTAGAGTTGATGACAATTCATTACCTCAGATGCTACAGATATGGATTATGATTTGAGGCAGTATTTTAGTAGCCAAGGATGAGGAAGGACATGTAGGGTTATGTCTCGCGGTAGATGATTTGTTAGTAGGTCAAGTACGAGCATCAGAGATCGAGTAGTTTTCTTAGGAAGTTTGAATGTGACGGGAAGAGTTTGCTTGGAATGTAGAGGGATGTGTAAGCTTGATTATCATTTTGGGATGCAACATGACTTCGAGTTTTGGAACGTATTGTTGGACCTTCAATTGATGCTAATTGGATTAACGGACTCTTGTAGCTGGCGAATGAGTGTGGACCTAGGAGAATCGGCTGATTTCATAATGGACGTGGCTATGGCTATGCCGTTGGAGGATATCCGTATGAGGTTACACGGGTGGGCTATCTCCTGTGAGAAGGTTAGGGGTTGCATGACTCCTGATGAACATTCTATAAAAGTTATGCCTTCTATCGAATGGGATGCATGTACCGCGATGTAAGCTTGGATCACTTGAAGAAGATAGTATGACTGTTAGGAGGTCGAGTGTGCGATTGTGGCAGATAATTCGGGATGTGTTATGATTAGTTCAACAAGAACATATGAGAAATTTTGTTAAGCAACGGTGTGAGATCATGGTAACTGAGGAGGAGGAGTCACCGTGGGTTCTGGATTTATGTGATTATGGCTTAAAGCTAAGTGGGGGAGCCTACCTTTTATGATTGGGGCACATGGTGATGTGCTTTTGCAGTTTCGGGTTATTGGTACATTGGTGGATTATTTATTACTAAGGGACGAAAACATTAGGGGTAATTTGAGGGTACCGGTGAGCTTTCCAAGAATAATTTTTACTCTTTTAAATCTTTGAACAAGAACTAAGCACTTCTTATGATCATGGCATATTTCATGTTGCTGAACATATGGAATATCATAGATGTATGTATTTGCTATGTTTCTAAAGTAAGAGACTCCCTAATAATAGAAGGAAAGATTTCATCCTTCTTTTTACATCTTAATTGCAAAAAAAGTATAATATGAAGGCTTAAAGGCTTGCATTATCACGTGTAAACAAGGAACACAAAGTGCTATGACTCATGTGCACATTGGTGCCACCCTTAGCCAACTTCATGCAATGTGGCAGCCCATAATTTGCCCTAAAATGCCACCTAATCTCATAAACCAAAGAGTCACCATTTGGATGTTTGAGTCATTTTCACTTGTTGCCACATGGGGGATGATGTTCCCACCTAACTTACCCACCAATTTCCTAAACGTGCCATCTTGCTCTACGACTTAAGAGTAATTTATTGGGCTTTTCTTGGCTGCCACGTTTGGAGGCTTATCAAGTCAAGCCTATCCAAATATTTTAAATACTTATCCACCCCAATAATTTAATGACTAAGCCACCACAACTCCCTAATCTTGCCACCTAGCTCCAAGACTTGCCTAGTCAATATTAAATTCCCTACTTGCTGAAACCTTAATCCTTATAAAGTTGATTAGTCATGAGGCCCCCTTATCCTCATGATTTCATGTGGATTCATACAAATAACACTTATCCACTTATAACTAATTCCATATTCCATGATTTTATACCAATATTTAACCAATTATTAATACAATAATTTCTAGGTCTCGTTTCACTTAAGTACTAATATATTTCATATGCCTTACTATCATGATCGTGTGGTACCTTGTATGGCACTAGTCCATAATTATTGAGTATTATAGCTTGAACTGTATTTCATCCCAAAATATGAAACTTCGGCGATACTCAATTTCTTCGATTCGTTTACCCCCTAACCTTCATAACACTTACTTATCACTTGTTTGAAATATCATAAATACTTATAACCTCAAAAATAGGCTTGTCCTTGAAC